TATAAAAATAAATGAATACAAATTAAAAGAAGATTAAGGCATTTGTGGTAAAACAAACTGTCTCTCCACCTCCTGGTAGCTAAGAGTATGAAGTTGTAGGTATTTAGATTTCACATTTTTTATTGTCTGTTCAGTTATATTGTCTGTTCAGTATAGCAGAATTAGATTCAGGTGAACAAATAGTCTACAGTTGTTTTTACTTTGCAGAAATTAGTCTATAAAACATAGAAGTGTTATAAACTCAGGTAGTTAAAAACTCTGGAGTCATGGCAGAGGAGCTCAGTGATCTGTTGTCCAATAATATCAGTGTTTCTTCTCTGTCTACAGGCTGAGAGCTGAAGCTGTAACTGGTCAGTTAACCAGGAGAAAATTAATCAGGAATTAATCTCTGATATTGTTGGAGGGTTGAAGCTAATTATTCTTTTAAATAATTGAGTAACATGACCATTATTTTCTTAATTAACTGATTAATTGTCCGGTGTAAAGATGTCAATGTCTCAGTCAGAGCTGGAGCTGACATCTGGAAATTGTTCGACCAACATTCCAGAACACAAAGATTCAGTTCCTGTGACAGAAGGAGAAACTGATTACTAATGACTGATGCGTTACTGTGTTCATCACTTTAACGCTGCAGCTGGTAAAGGTGGAGCTGATGGTAACTACCTTATATACTTATACTGTAATGTACTTTACATCCTGCTGGGTAGCTGGTGGATTTCCCACTGGGATCGACAGAGTCTGATGGTTCTACGGGGTTTGATTTGATTCATCTGATTCTGGTAAGGAACTGAAGTTATCAGGTACATGTAGTGCAGTAAAAAGTACACGGTTTGTCTCTGACATGGAGTGAAGATTGAGTAGCAGGACACTGAAATGCTGCCATGCCTGTCCACATCTCCCTATGTGTCTGACTAAAGTCACATGACTGTTGGCACAAGCACATGAACACATCTGACTCTGTGTGATTCAGATTAACGTTTGTCGCCTCCAGCTGTGTGTGGGTGTGATCACAGTGAGGTGTTTGCCCCTGATCACATTATGTAAATGAGCCTCCACTAATTATGGATTTAACAGAGACCAAGGCCGAGTGTGTGACAGGTGTTAAATCAGGACTGACAGCTGTTTGTGTTCAGCAACACTGCTCTCCTGAGTCTCACTGAACACAGGGTGTGTGTGTGTTTGTGTGTGTGTACATCAGTATGATCATCATATACCTCCGTACCGATTAATAATCAATATGTGAATGTGGAGCTGACCTGTCTGCAGGTTAACCTACACAAACCATGTCATGACTTTCACACCTTCTCCTGTTTGAGCCACAACATTTGTTCCTTTTCTGTCCACCTTGACAACACAAGAGAGCATGTCAGAGCTACGCATGCCGCTAATCAAGTTACACAGCAGGAGTGCACACAGAATACATTGAACAAACACCACCACCAGGGACAGAGGTTGAGATCAATAAGCTCAGACTACTCCACCACACATTATACACTGTACTTCTCATACTGTGGCACAACATATAGCTCACTACACTGACAGGGAGTTGCTGAGCCGAGCAGGTTCCTGTCAGTGATGAAGACCAGCTGCAGCTGAACTAGTCTCACTGGGTTAAACTAGCCAGGGGTGTGTGTGTGTAACATAAGAGACATTTTGTCCAAGTTTAATTAAGTGTATTCCCCCCCCCCCAGCACAATCTCTGTTCTGAGGAATTTAATTTACTGTGTGTGGGCGGGCTGTCTCGGACCTGTCAATCACACACTGACCTGTGTCTCACCCCCAAAGACTGCTGTGTGTGTCTTTCTGTGGTTGTGAGGACAAGCTAATTTATGTTAATGAGGGTCCTCACAGAGACAGAAGTACAAATGTGGGGTTTCAGGTGTGTGTTCACAAACAACTGAGGTTTTAGCAGGTGTGGTAACCATGGTAACCAACCACATGGTCAGTCACACAGGAACTTTTAAACTAATCTAATTAACTGCTCTGTGTGACATCATCAGTGATGTCATCCTCTAGTGTAATCAATTAATTAAACAGTTCTAAATGTATTAATCTGATTTTAAACAGTCATGTTAACATCACTAATGTTGGTCACCAGTTTAATTGTACTAGAAATGGCTATCAATGTTTTTATCATCATAAATTTTTTTAAACGTGTGTTTATCTTTCATCTTTGAGTCAAAGGTGTTGATGAAACACTACAGCTCCTTCACTGACATGATGTCCAGCTCTGACTGCTTTATCTAATTATATTACTGTGTATTATATAATATATAAGGCAAAATAACTTCAATTCGTAAAGTCTACTGGAAATAGTTTCTAACAGTAAATCGCTTTGTTAAGGCATATGCTGAATGTAGAAATTTGTAAATTCAAAAAAGTAACTATTTTCTTCTGCAAAGTCAAAGTGAACATTTCCATTAAAAACTCCAGAGAAGAAATGGGATTTTTTCATTTAGTTCATTTAGACGTGATATTTTCCAGTTTCCTCTCAGACACGTCCCCTCTTTAATTCCTTCCTGGGGGCAATCAACACTGACAGTGAAAGGGCCTCAGGAGAACAAGATGAAACTGATTAATTCATGAGGTGAAAACATGAGATTAACCTGGAATTTTCAAACTGAGAGGAGGAGGAGGGAAAGGCTGGCAGTCATCCATTACTGATGGCTGCTTTTTATTTAAGGTGGAATCTCCTCTTTAAGGTGTTCCACAGGTATGTTTAAAGGGTCGTCCATCTGTTTTTCATATTTCATCTCTATCTCAGCTCTCGACCAGGCCGTCCTCCGAAATGGACACTGGGCATGGCCAGGATGATGCACAGCTCCAGACCCCTCCCACACGGTCTGCTAACCCCCGCCCTTCTGTCTCAGACAGGTGAGGAAAACAAGCGATTAAAATGGCATTACAAGAGTGAGTGTTGAATTTTATATCTATGACAAAACCACGTTACGATGCTGTAAGTAACTGTTGTGCCACGTTTCTAGGTTGGATCCGTGGGGGACTGGTAACAGAACAGTTCATTGTTTACTTTTGTTTTCAGCTCCTAACAGCTGGTGCTGTAGTGGTTGGAGATTTGTCTTAGAGTATGGACACAAATCCTGAGGAACATCTTTGTTTTCTCACATTAAGGTAAAGAAATGCTGAATGTTAGATTGCATTAAGTTAAAGGGGGCTGTGATGTGATGACATCATTTTAGCTCACTATAAAGTTCAGATGTTTGCTACGGTAAAGCATGATGAAGCAATGTGACTCCAAGTTACAGTGAGCTGAACACTTGAGGGAAAATTCCAGACAGATTTCCTGTTACCGAACCCAAAACAACTGTTCCTAAGATCATGACCAGAAGTCAAAGCACAATGATCCCCACCAAGGTGTCTGAGACCTCTGCAGCTCAAGGTGTTCCCTGAGATATCGCATTCATGAGAATGGCACAAACAGCAGGACAATTTGAGACATGGCCCCAGCCACGGCTGTTGCCAATGCCGAGGTGTGAACACAGATTACACTAAGTGCCTTGTCTGCAGCAGGCACTCTTCATTTATTACTGTTACTGGAAACATTTCTAACAGAGATTTGAGAGCACAATCTGTCAGGCAGGTCTGACTCCTGACTGCTTATTTAAGCTCCTTTCACATTCCAGTTGAAGTTTCCTTCCCAGTGACTCAGACCTAGTGTGTCCACAGCAGTTTGAACAGACCAGACCAGATCTGGGCCACCTGCATATGTGCTCCTAGGTCAGATTCCTCTCCGACCTCTGACTGTGCGAGCACCGTCAGAATAGTCAGATCAGAATCCATGTGGTCGTTTTAACTTCTCTTCCTCTGCACATACGGCCTGTCGTCATCATTCGGCGCCGGCCCCTCACAGATCAGTAACAATAAACATGCAGAGCGACGACAGCGACGGGGTCAGAGGAGAGACCAGGATGTTTGACATGTGGTGGACGTTTATAGAGAAGCTTCTGATCAGGCCAAACTGGAAGGAACATATCATAACCCAGCAGTTTGGGAGGAAACTGGGCCATATGGCTGTTGCACACACGACCTGGTTGTTATTCTTGTGCGCATGTGGCTCACATTTCAGTTCCATCTGTGCATGTGTGGCAGTTTAGGAGCTAAGCGGTGTTCACACTGGGCCGGGTACATGGCCCTGACACACATGGACAGGAAGCAGTGACACACAAAGGTCAGAACCAAGCATTAAGGCCTGAGATGTGCCTTAGTGCACAGATGATAAGCTTATACAGGGTGGGCCACGGAAAAATAGCCCGTGTACTCAAGAGCGTGGTATTGGAGGCGGGCTACTATTCTGTGGCCCACCCTGTATATTCTGACTCTACAGAGCTGCAGTTTCGTCTGTCAGAAACACCTCAGTGTTCAGTACTGAAACAGATCAGGACTATAATTAGCAGCTTAATTAGCAGATGTCAAAATGACTGACAGATTGAAGTCTTACCCTGAAGCACGGTGTGTGTGTGTGTGTGTGTGTGTGTTGCTTTGGGCGACAGTGTGGAGGACTTAAAGAAAATCTGCTTATGAAGATCATCTGAACATGTGAGCATTTGTAGGTTGATACAGTTCTTGTTATTGAAGCTGCAGACAATGACATCACACCTAAACCGGCTTCCAATTGGCCTGTTTCCACACAGCTGACAACGTTACGCCTGAGGTTCAGTACTGAGACCATCTTTATAGAGTAAAATCCGGTGCGGGCATGAAAACCACAAAGTGTGCTCTGGTCCTAAACAGGATTTTTCAAACTCAAGAGTTGCACTGATCAGTCAACAAACAGAAAATTATTCAGCAATTATTTAGTAATCGATTAATCATTTCAAGCTCTTTGAAGAAAACAGCCAACTGTAAGTTGGTAAATGATAAATAGTTATATGCACTCGTCTTTGGATTTAGCAAACTCCAAGTGTTTTACACTGTGTTTGCCCATTCCCACCACAGTCAACAGACGCAAACCACGAACCGAACCGTTCACCTCCATCTGCTCCTGACAGATCAGACAGCTTGATGAAAACACACACACAGTTAATTAAATGTTAACAAGCTGAGGAGACGGTCTCACTGTTCCTGCGATGGTGCTCAGAGTCAAACTGGATTTATTCTGCAAACACAGAAGCAACAAACATTGTTACAGGGGATTTTTGGTAAAAACAACCAAACACATCAGTACTAAAAGAACATGTTGTGTATGTCTGTGCAGATTCACAGTCATCCAGGTCATATTAAACTGAAAAAACTCACCTCCCATCCATTGAAGCCTCTTGGATGAGAGGTGAAACGTCTTTGACCTAGAAATCTAAGTCCAGTTGAAGTTTTTTCAGTTAACATGTTGTGTAGCTTCATCATCAGCACTCAGATGCATGAAACAAAACAGTGAATTTATTCATGTTCACAGTAAATTATTTTCTTTGATAAATGTGTCAAGTTTCAGTGTAATGAAGCAGTGTTTATTCCCTGACAACCAAACAGGAAGCAGTTTGTTGTGAATTTATGAACTAGATGTGATCTAGATGAATTTATTAAACTGTGTGTGTGTGCATGTTTCTCGAGCAGTGTTGCGTTTCATTTCCTGTTTGCAGCGTTCACCAGCTGAAAGCTTCCTGTAATACACTCTGTGGTTTGAGAAATAATTCTGAAAATAGATTTTATCATTTATAAGGAGAGAGGAATGGTGATGTGGTGTTGGCTGCAAGGTCTACATGCAACCTAATGGACATAAAGACCAGGAACATCTGGGTCAGGCGATTTGATATAGTCGCCTGATCTTACACAACCTTCATGACACAGCGTTCTCGAGTCACAAAACACAAAGTCGAGTTAAGTCCCTGATGCTTCCATTGTAGTCTGCAGATAAATATGAAAGTTGAATATACAGCTGGAGGCAGAGCACACAGCTTTTAGACACATCTTTGAGCTTTATCAAGACACACTGATATAACACACTACACACCCAGGCGTCAGTTTATTAGGAACACCTGTGCCAGACTGAGTCAGCCTAATCCAACAGTCCAGCAGTAAATCCTCCCTCTCGAAGGTGATCATGTTCAGAGGTGTTAGTTAACCTCTGTGATTACTGCTGAGGCTGCGGGTTGTGCTGTCGTCCCCTCTCAGTGACACAGAACAGAACAGTCACAGCTTTGCTTTGGCACCATTGTCACCATCCTGGTTCAGAGCTCTTCCCTTATTAAATTAGCAGCATATCCAAACCTGGCTTTTTAAAAACAGCAATACTCCTAATGGTAACAGTTCCCCCCTGCTTCCAGTGTTTGTGCTAAGCTAAACTCTGCTAGACCCCTCAGAGATAGAACCAGTCTGTCACCGGTTCGTCTCCTGACAATAAACATTCCGGTTTCAGAAGCTGAAACATGAAAAGAAGAAAACCGGCTGCAGCTGTTTTCATTCATCAGGAGGTTTTTGGGGGATTAGAATGTCCACTCAGTAGTTAATAGGAATTCCTCCTTAATACCAAACAAATTAATTAGAGGAGGTGACTAACTGGGCCAAAGAGAGAGAGGTGGCTGAGAGACACCGACAGTCACTGGAGACTCCCAGGCTGCCAAGGTTATTAATTATTGATCAGTCAGAGAAACATCTGGAGCTGTTACTCCATCACCACCACCTCCTCCTCACTAAAGAAAGATTTAAACATTTTGAACATTTACCTCTGCCACCTCCTGCTCCTCTAAAGACAAATCATCTATATGACAATGTATAAAAATTATCTAGAAATTGACCGAATTACATATTCACAAAGGTCCTGAACCCACAGATGTTACTGACTCCATCACCTCCACCCTGCAGCGCCACCTTCAGGACAAACTGAACACATCTCCTGTCTGCAGGTCTGACGGCAGCGGCATTGGCTGAGGCTCTGAAACTGAAGAAGATGAGGATGATGGGTTTCCATGGCAACAGCAATCAGCAGCAACATCACAACGGAGCTGACTCAGAGAACACCACCACAGGTACGAACATGACATCATCATCAGGCCAACCAGGTTGAGTCATTAATCTCACCTGTCTCATCTCCTCTCCTGTAGGAACCAGTGAAGGATCATGGGAGAAGGAGCAGCACCTCCTCGCTCCTCCCTCCTCCCTTGCAGCATCTCCTGCTGGTTCTCTCCACCTCAACACTCTGCAGCAGCACAGCTCACTATCGGCCAGCCGTGAGTCACAGCTGTCAACTAACTGGATACCTGACCATTGTTAGCTTAGCACTGTAGATCTGTGGGTCAGCATTCCTTATTCATGCCTCCTCAGCACTATGTCTCCATGGCTCTGCCTCCTCAGGTTTGTTGGACCTTCCCTTTATGGTCATGCCACACTCCCTCCTCCCTGTGGGCCTGCCCCCTGCCAGCGTTGCCATGGCGATGAACCAACTGAGTCAGCTGAGTAGTTTGGCAAACATGGCCAATGTGTCACAGGTCCTGAAAGAAGAGAGCAAGCTGAGAGCTAACAGTGCTAATGCTAACATGTAGAATGCTAACATCATTTATATTTACAACGATAATGCTAACAGGGTTAATACTAACCAAATTAAAAGTAACAGTGCTAATGCTAAAATTGTGATGGCTCTAATGATAACAGTGGCAACAGTGGACTAGCATTACCGTACTTAGTCTGCAGACTAAAATTTATACTGCTGAAAATATTATTTAAAAAGCTAATACTAACAGGACTGTGTGATAACGGTAGCAATGCTAACAGTGCTAATGCCTTTTTTTCTAAAAGGTATTAGGCGAATAAGGAGAAAAATCACTCATGCTAATAGTGTTAATGCTAATGCTATCCTGTGTTTAGGAGAAGTTTCCTACAGGAAGCCCCTCCCCCTGCCTCTCCCCCAGCAGTGATGAGCTCCACGCCCAGGAACCAACTAGCCAATCACCTTCCAGAGCATCTTTGGCCTCATCATCCTCTGCTTGTCCTGCACTCACACAGGAACCTGGTCAGCACACACAGAGACACACACATGATCATGTTATTAATGAAATAGGCTGTTTCTTCTTCTCTGGTCTGAATGTTTCCTGCACAGATGGAGAGACTGCAGAGCAGGAAAACATGAAGAAAGTGTTGTGGGGAAAAGGTATGAGGGTGTTTCTGTGACATGTCCTGAGGTGATAGGACTCAAACCCAAGTTGTTGTGACGTTTTATTTATGGTGACACGGACCCTCTCTCTGGGTCAGCATTCCTAATTCATGCCTCCTCCATCAGCCCTCACATGATCCACCACTTGTTTCTGTTAGGAGGAAGGTCTGTTAGAAGTCCTGTTTCTCCTGGAGCCCATACTCAGATAAAACACATCAAGTCTGGATTGGATTTGAACTAACAAACACAAAATTACTTCCACGTCCATTTTGTTGCACCTTCATGTCTTTACTTTGTTTCTACCTGCAGATGGCCTGTTGCCCCACTCTGATATCAGACTGACCTATGAGAAGCTGCCACTTACCTCTCAGCCACCATCTATCAATGAAGCAAACCCAGCTTTTGCTCCCTTTCTATTGGTTGATGGTCTGTCATTCATGGAGACGCTGCTGACCAACATAGAGGTGACAGTTGCCGGAATTAACATAATGCAGGCATGATAATGTAGAGGCAATAATCCAGATACAGAAATGATAAAGCTGGGACAGTAACATAGACATGATATTACAGAGACAGTATCACTGAGACAATAATGTAGCAATCATAAAGTAGATATCTGGATGTGGTTCTCAGGGCCTCCTCAAGGTGGCGGTGGAGAGTGCATGTGCCCAGGATAAACAAAATCAGCTGGAGAGGAAAGAGTTAAAACTGGAGTTGGAGCGAGAAAGAAGCACTCGGCAGACGCTCCAGAGACAGCTGAGCTCAGAGCTCCAGACTCAAGGTGAGACGGGTCAGAGAAGAGAGACAGGTCAGAGGGTAAAGGCAAGCTGTGTTAGTACAGGTACTGTACTTTGGTATGGCCCTAACAGACACATTGTAAAGTATAAAACTCTAGATCAGTATTTGAATCAAAGTGTGGGTGTAATCCAGACCTTCTTGTGTGTCAGTGTCGATACAGAGGATGCTGAAGAAGGAGAGGAAGGTGAAGAGGAGGCTGCAAGAGGCCTTGGACTTTGAGTCGAGGAGGAGAGAGCAGGTGGAGAGGGCGCTGAAGCACTCCAACTCCCTGACAGGTGACACTGCTCCTCCTCATTTCTCTTATACAGTATCTCTGCTCCTTCTGTGTAGTCCTCCTGTTTCTCCTGCTGCCCTCATGTCTCCTCATCTGAACTTTTCTCAGTTTCCTCCTGGTGACAAGGTGAAACGTAAGAACCAATGCTAGTAGAAGTATTCAGATACTGCAGTAATGTCAGAACAACCGTATAAAAATGCTCCATTACAAGACCTATGTTCAACTGTCCCCTGTGAGTTTCATCCTTACACTGTATCACAGTGTGCTCCGAATCTAAAAATGTGTTAAAGTGCTGTTGATGTGAAGGTTATTTTCTCTGTTAGTAGTTTGGTCTACAAAGGCAGTCAGCTTCACAACAGCTTGGTATTCTGTTTGTAGGTTTACAGAAACCAGCTGACAGCACAGGAAGCTAACATAATGCTAACCAGGCTAACATAGCCAGCACTGTGTCGATGTGTTTTCAGATGCTGTGACTCCTGAGTGCGAACTGGAAAACAAGCAGCAGGAAATCTCTGCAACTCAGGGTAACAGCAGCACTCACCTACAGACTCAGGTCTGATCTTGGTAGTGGCAGTGCAGGAGTTCAGTGGTGTTTACACCAGAGCCAGATACATGAATGTGAAGCATCAACACAAAAACATCAGAGAAAAATGTGATTCAGTTCCGAAATCAAGCTACAAACAGCAGTTCCTATAAACAGAGGGGTGGTAGTTCTGCTGACAGTCACGAAGTGTGCACAAAGACTTCTGTCTGAATTCCCAGGCTTAGCCACACTGAGCGACTGTACTGACATGTGTTGAAATGTGAAATTGAATCAGGAGACACAGCAGAACTAAACACTGCACAGACACATGAACACAGTGTTTACACAACAAGGAGCACAACACTGACATGTTAATATGATTCATTCATCACAATAGTGATGCGTCACAGAGACGCTCACACTCCCTGTGTCGTATGTTAAGGATAATAAGGATAAGGATAATCACCTTTATTGGCCAAGTCTGTTATACACAAGGAACCAACTCAACCGATGGCTCTAACGGGGGGGTTCAGTGTCTTGCCCAAGGATACTTCGACATGTGGACTGTTCCTGTGTTTCCAATTAACAACTTGAGCTTCAGTTTTTGAAGTAAATCCAGCACTGACCCTTGTTGAGAAAGCACTCCGACGTGAAACGATTAGTACATATCTTCAAGAACATTTCCACAATAAATATGTGATATCCACTGCGTCTTCACTGGCTCTGAGGATGGAAGTAGGTAGAGATTTTTGTGCAACCAGCGACTGACCGGTGGCACAAAAAATGGACCGGACCTATGGACAGAGTAGGAGAAGGCTCTATGAAATGTAATGCCACGTCATTTCGTATGATGCCATAAAGAGAAACAAATCCAAACAATGTGTTTGAGGAGGGTTTTTTTACAAATGTGGACAAAGCAAAACAGGCAGGGACTGTTCTTTTCTCATGATTTGTGTGTCTCTACACACACTGGAGACCCATGTGAATGTCAGAGACTGCTCTTAAAGGGAATTTTACATAATGTGTGTCTTTTAAATAAATGAAACTTTTTGTTTCTGCAGAGAACAGACTGTTCACCAAACCTCTACTGCTCTTCTGAGGCCTCACATCTGCCTCTCACGCCAGGATGGACAGATGAACCAATGGGCGGATGAACAGATGGACAGATGAGGAGGAGGAAAGTGCAGAGCTATAAAGAACTGAAACTGAACTGGACATCTGGACCTCCTGAAACAGAAACAGAAAAACAGATTATGGACAGCTAAATAAAAACATCAACAAAAGAAAACCACAGTCCCATCAGACATCTCTCCTTTTACCAGTGGTGGAAGAAGTACTCAGATCCTTTACTTAAGTAATATTAGCAATACCACAGTGAAAAATACTGTTACAAGTCTTTCATTCAAAATGTAAAAGTAAAAAAGTCTTAGCAGAAAATATACTTAAAGTACCAAAAGTAAAAGCACTCCTTATGCAAAATGCCACTGTTTACACAGATTTACATCTTATTGTCTGATGTATTATTGCATATATCACATTTAATGTTGCAGCTGGTAAAGGTAGAGCTAATTTTAACTAAATTATATACTTATAGTGTGAATTATTGAGTAGCTTGTGAATTTTACACTAAGGATCAATAAATCTTATGATTATACTGTATTTTGTTTTATTATCCTCTTTCTGAAAAGTAAGTAGTAACTAAAGTTATCAAATAAATGTAGAGTACAAAGTACTTTTTTTTTTTAAATGTACTACACTTAAGTATAGTATTTGAGTAAATGTACTTTCCACCGGTGCCTTCTACTTCCTGTTTTGAAATAAGTGTTCTTATTGTTGTCATTACTAAACTGAGTAGAACATTGTGTGGAAAGAAGAGGATAGCCTGAAGGGGCGGAGTTTAATCCTGTTGTTATATGACCACCCCTGGTGTCATTAGATACAACACCTTGGCATGCCAGCCATGCCGGATCTGAACTGTGGGCGTCAAGACCGGTTTAAAATGGACACAGAAACTGAACTGGAACCAGCTGAAAAACTAGGTGTTGATTGTTCCCACCTGTAGGGGGCGGGGTCAACCTGAACCCATTTTTATAAACTTGTCTTTAATGTTTACTACTGTCAAACTTTAGCATTTAAGCTTGTAGATGTTGTAGTACTGGTACTACTGGCAGTAGCACTTAGTTTAGTAGCAGGCGTACTGTTACTGTTCATTTGTTGGGGATCATAGTACTGAATCTTAATGAGTTTTAACCTTTAATGAGCTTTTAACCATTTTCACAATTGAAGACTTGCAACCTGAGAATCCGGCTGGAATCGAGGTTAAAATCTCAGACCTCCTAAGTGACATCACCACAGACTACAGTGTAGTATGACATCACAGTTAGGACAAAAGCAACATGCTTAATGAGGTGTGAACACTAAAAAGCTTAACAAGGAAAGACTCACCTTTTTAAAACATTTCACCACAGTAGTGATGTAACTCTTACCTGTAGGGTGGTGTGACATCACAGCACGAGTGGGGTCTGCAACAACCCCCAGCTCTTGACAATTTCTGATCGATTGCTTAACAAGTCGTCCATAAGGAGGTGTTCTTCTCCTACAGGTTGCTAATATATTTTTCTTTTTTATTTTGCATCATTTTGATCAAGCTGTAAATGTTCTTATTGTATACGTTGTGAACAAACTGCAGAATAATGTTTAAGTCTGAGTCAGTGTTTAGCTAGTTTATGTCAGCTGTCATTAAAATAAACCTTCATGTTTATGTTCTGTCTGGTAACTGCACCTGAAAACATAACACCAGAACTGGTCTTAAAGGTTGCCTGTAGCATGGTACTGGTACCTCTACTGATGAAAGCAGGCTACATGGGTCTAAGTGGCGCATAATTGAGACACAATAAAAACAAAGGAAATCCGCTCTGTGATTGGTCGAAACACCAACACATTCATTCATTCATTTTCTACTGCTTAGTCCCTGAACGGGGTCACGGGTGGGGCCGGAGCACTGAGTCTTATTTTACACTATAAGCTTTCCTGCTCTATTATGCTGAATATTACATTCTAACCAAAAAAAAGTAGTAAACATAAACAAATTAGAAACAAAAACAGTCAAACACCCTCTTTGATGTTCATCCTGCCAAAAGAAATAAAAAATTAAAATCAACTTTGTGTTGGAGCTGCTGATGGGCAGAGCTTTGAGGCCTCATTATCTTCACAAACATCCTGCTCCATATTCCATCAACACACTCAGGATAATTACCTGACAGTCGTTAACGCACTCAATGGTAATTTGGAGAATAATTAGCCAAGTTGTCTGTGAGTGTTAAACATGTTTTTGTTGTCAACAACAAACACCCAGTTTGATCTCTTAATGAGCTGCTGCGTGTTAACAAGCACTCAGATGACTCCTGTATTGAGTCGGCCCTCAACGAGATTACCAAACACTAATCAGTGCAAACATGCTGGTAACACACACACAGCAGGTTCATGTAACTCTTTGCATTCTCATTATTTTGGTTTAGTTAGACTTAACGTGCCTCCTAATTAATACACCATCTAAAAACAAATATCAAGTCTGAACATATGAAGGAGGTCAGACTGGTTTATCTCACCCAAAGATCTGAAAGTCCAACTCTGATCCAGAACTCTGCTGCAGGATCACTGAGACTTAAAGCCAGGGTCCAAACTGGTGAAACCTTATAATAAAATCCTCTCGTAAACACAGTCAAACCTTTTTATAAGCCAGAAAATCTTCTCATATGTTTGGAGGAACAAAACACAGGAAAACTGTTGTGTATAGAATTAATTCACAGGGAGAATCACTGCAGTGCCAATCATCATTTATTATACAATATATTGTAATAGAAAGGTTTTGAAGGGCGAGACACAGGACCACCTTGATTTGGGCCTCTGCAGAAGTTGGTCAGGTCAGTCTTCTCGGGTCCTCACATACACCCACACTCTCTCTCTGGTCAGCTCTGCAACTAACTATATGGCTATTTCCCAGCTTCCTGCAATTGTTCAGGTCTTGACGTCCATCGGGCCCCCACCCTAGTTACACTTCTCTATTTTGGTTCGGGGGGACTATACAGTGCCTTGCGAAAGTATTCGGCCCCCTTGAACTTTGTGACCTTTTGCCACATTTCAGGCTTCAAACATAAAGATATAAAACTGTAATTTTTTGTGAAGAATCAACAACAAGTGGGACACAATCATGAAGTGGAACGAAATTTATTGGATATTTCAAACTTTTTTAACAAATAAAAAACTGAAAAATTGGGCGTGCAAAATTATTCAGCCCCCTTAAGTTAATACTTTGTAGCGCCACCTTTTGCTGCGCTTACAGCTGTAAGTCGCTTGGGGTATGTCTCTATCAGTTTTGCACATCGAGAGACTGAAATTTTTGCCCATTCCTCCTTGCAAAACAGCTTGAGCTCAGTGAGGTTGGATGGAGAGCGTTTGTGAACAGCAGTTTTCAGTTCTTTCCACAGATTCTTGATTGGATTCAGGTCTGGACTTTGACTTGGCCATTCTAACACCTGGATATGTTTATTTGTGAACCATTCCATTGTAGATTTTGTTTTATGTTTTGGATCATTGTCTTGTTGGAAGACAAATCTCCGTCCCAGTCTCAGGTCTTTTGCAGACTCCATCAGGTTTTCTTCCAGAATGGTCCTGTATTTGGCTCCCTCCCTCTTCCCATCAATTTTAACCATCTTCCATGTGCCTGCTGAAGAAAAGCAGGCCCAAACCATGATGCTGCCACCACCATGTTTGACAGTGGGGGTGGTGTGTTCAGGGTGATGAGCTGTGTTGCTTTTACGCCACACATAACGTTTTGCATTGTTGCCAACAAGTTCGATTTTGGTTTCATCTGACCAGAGCACCTTCTTCCACATGTTTGGTGTGTCTCCCAGGTGGCTTGTGGCAAACTTTAAACGACACTTTTTATGGATATCTTTAAGAAATGGCTTTCTTCTTGCCACTCTTCCATAAAGGCCAGATTTGTGCAGTTCTGTTCCACACTGATGTCCTGTAGTTCATCCTCAAAATAACAAGTTAAAACAACAAATAGTAATAATGTACGTGAAAGCGATTCTTCAGTTTTCTAACCCCCCCCCCCCACCACACACACATGAGATACAGCAGAAACCAGACAACTGTTTAACAGTTTTGATCAGCACTCATCAGTGACTGAGTATTTTACTGCCTGTGTCATGATTCTGTCTTGCCTGTTTTCGTTCTCAGAAACTAATCATCCAACTAATCATCTGTTTGTCCCAGTTGCACTGCGCACTAAGGTGCTGCAGTGGTGTCATGCCACCAAGATCACTTGTCATCCTGGTGTAGCATGGGCCTGCTACACCGTGCAGAGACAATTTTGGTGACCAACAGTTAGAGAGGACATCCGGGAATTCGTGGCCGCCTGTTTGGACTGTGGCCAGGAACAAGACTTCCACTAGCAAACCTGCGGGTCTGTTGTGTCCCCTTCCCGTGCCCCAGAGACCTTGGACCCACATCTCTGTGGACTTTGTCACTGGTCTATGTCACGAGGCAATACCACTATTCTCACCATTGTAGACAGGTCCTCCAAGATGGTTCATTTTGTGCCATTACAATGCAAAGAATACTGTTGTTTTAGTGCTTTTAGATCTCACAGCAGCCTTTGACACCATTGACCATACAGTCCTCATATCCCACCTTGAACATTGCGTCAGCTTGCGTGGTGCTGTGCTTAAATGGTTTATTTCTTTTCTGACCAGTAGGACCTTTTCAGTTATGATCAATGACTCTACCTCTGCAGTAGCCCCTCTCTCTTCGGGTGTTCCCCAAGGTTCAATCCTGGCGCCTATTCTTTTCTCATTATATATGTTACCGTTAGGCTCAATTATTTCTAAGCATAACATTCATTTCCATTTTTATGCTGATGAAAATTTACCCAATAATGTGCAGATTTACTTGCTGTTGATGCAGAGTGATGCTAATGCACTAGTCCCCTTGCACAGGTGTTTGGGTGATATTAAAGAGTGGCTCACACAGAACTTCCTTCATTTAAATGAAGGGAAGACCGAATATATCGCTTTCAGCCTGGACCCACTCACACTGTATCCGGCCTAGGAGCTTTAGCCCCGTTATTCACTCAAACTGTGGAAAACCTGGGAGTGTTATTTGATAGCAGCCTCAAATTTGACAAGCAAATTCGTTCGGTGGTCAAAATAAGCTTCTTTCAGCTGAGGCTCCTAGCAAAGGTGAAACCTTTTTAATCTTGAGCCGACCTAGAAAAAGCCATTCATGCCTTCATTAGCTTACAACTTGACTACTGCAATGCCCTATATACTGGAATTAGTAAGCCTCAACTCCATAGGCTCCAACTCGTACAGAACGCGGCTGCTCGGC